CAGCCTGGGCGATAGAGTGAGACTGTCTCAAAAAAAAGCTTTGAGGTTTAAAATAAGTGTCTTTGTGGATTATACCAATTATAGATACTTAAAACATGAATAAGCATAGAGGAAAAAGGGATAGACAGTGGGGTGGGGTGGAATTTGAGGTATTAGAGAAATTCTTTATGTAACAGTTTCCCCTGTCTAAATCATCTATTGTTTGAAATTAGTTTCTTTAACCTTTGTGATAGCACTCATGTTACATGGCTTATTTTTATCATTTTTCTTGAATTTTCTTTGATTCCCCTTCTCCTATTATCAAAATTGCTTACTGGCCTGGCATAGTGGCTCATGCCTATAATCCCAGCACTTTGAGAGGCCAAGGTGAGAGGATTGCTCGAGGCCAGGATTTTGAGACCAGCCTAAGCAACATACTGAGACCCCGTCTCTACAAAAAAGTTTTGAAAAATTAGCTGGGTGTGGTGGCACATGCCTGTAGTCCCACCTACTCAGGAGGCTGAGGCTGCAGTGAGCTATGATCATGCCACCACACTCCAGCTTGGGCAACAGAGCAAGACCCTGTCCCTCTGGGGGTGGGGAAAAAAAACTGCTCACCATTTTACCATTTCAACATTTGCTTCTTATAGGAACACTTAATAGGTTAACCAGATTACACAGAGACAGAATTCTCTTTCATCAGAGACAGAATTCAATGATTCAATGCTGTCAAATCCCTTATGTTGAGGCAATTTTAGGAAAGAAAAAGAAAGAGTATTTCCCCCATGACATGGATCAGAGGCCCTATATTGCAAATGCAGGAAGCACTGTCTATGCTGAAAGAAGCTCCTTGTTATATTCACAATTTCCCAGTGAGAGACAAGGTAGAAACTGCTCTTGCCTGAGTGCATATGTCATCCTCAGTGCTACCTGTGAGACCACTAGGACCTTCCACGAAAAATGCTTCCACACTGACTCCATCACTTGGCCATCAGGCATAATGTAAGAAACTTAGCATTTTTCTAACACTTCAGGAAAGCTGAAATCAAAGCAGACATCAACTTCACAAATGATATATTAATCTGGGCTCAAATATGGAAATTATTAGTATTATTATTATTATTTTGAGTTGGAATCACGCTCTGTCACTCAGGCTGGAGTGCAATGGCATGATCTTGGCTCACTGCAACCTCTGCCTTTCTGGTTCAAGCAATTCTCCTGCTTCAGCCTCCGGAGTAGCTGGGATTACAGGCACCTGCCACCATGCCTGGCTAAATTTTTGTATTTTTAGTAGAGAGGGGGTTTCACCATGTTGGTCAGGCTGGTCTCGAACTCCTGGCCTTGAGATCTACCCACCTCAGCCTCCCAAAGTGCTGGGATTACAGGCATGAGTCACCATACCCAGCCAGAAATTATTTAATGATAAAACTAAATTTAAGTATATGGGAAGAAGAGAAATAATTGTTCATTTTCTTTTAGCAAATGAATACATTTAAGGCTGTGGCTTGGGTCCTGTGAGTTGAGCTGAGATGTGTGCAGTGCTCCCCGCTACTCTTGCAAACAGGACCTAAATATTTGGCAGACATTTTTTCTGGCTACAGGTGATTTTCCATAAAAACATACTTTACTATTTAGGCATTACATTCCTAATGCCTTTATTATGTTTTCTTCTTCACAAAGAATTACACTGAAATATAAATAAGTTTTCACCTTCTTTCCAGGTGTGCATTTGGACAGTCCCAGCTATTCAGGAGGCTGAGGTGGGAGGATCTCTTGGGCCTGGGAGTTCAAGGCTGTAGTGAGCCATGATTGCATCACTGCATTCCAGCCTGGGCAACAGAGTGACCCCAGTCTCAAAAAAAAATAGTTGATTATTTTCTTTTTGATCATATATAAATTATACATTTTTAAATATTTAAATATCATTTAGAGTAAATCCCCCTGTGGCATGTTTATGATTCCTGCTTTGGTACTTGAGACTCAGCCAGGTCTGTTTTGTCCTAAACAACTGCTGGGACCTTTATTGTTTATTCAGCCATTTGTACATTGATTCTCCTGGTCATTTCTTTTACAGCTTTGTATAATAGCACAAACCTGGGAATGTTAGACAAGACACATGAATGGGCATTTAAAATATGTTAAGAAGTACAGTAACTATTAAAACTAGCACGGCTTTCAAACAGATGATGATTAATAAAACTGTGACTTCTTATTTTTCACACAGGAAATGCTGTGAATTTTAGGGCATTAAAAACCAATTGTTAACAGAGAGTGCAGCCTGACTGGAAGATTTTTAAATTGTTTAAAAGTGTCACAGTGTAGGAAGCCAGAAAGAATCGGAAACATAACTGAAAGAAAGAGACTGCTCCCTGCAACTTTTAGCCATGAGAGTAACAATACACATTTAGATAGAAAAGGCTATGAGATTCCAAAAAGTTCAGACAGTATTGAGTTTCAGAGAATAGCGGGATATAACCCAGTCCTTGGTGGTCAGCTGAACCATATTATGATTGTTTTTAACGTGGAAAGAAGAAGACTCTGCTCTCTTTTTAAAAACCTGCTGTTGAGCTGTGTACTCTCTGCCCCAGTTGATAGTCACAGCCTTGTCCTTACTGTGAGCAGAGTGAGGAATTGACCATCTCACCAGTGTGCAAGCTCTCAGACTTTTTCTTTACTGGAATAGGTGCACTCTGGGTGCAGTGATGGTTCCTCTCTGTTCCCAGAGGGCTACTCCCTCCCTCACTGCCAGGACAGATGTCGGTGTGTGTTCTCCCAGCCAGTAGGACAGATGCAGTCTGTAAACAAAATAAACACAGACACAAACACACACACACCTTCCTCCCTCAGCAACCCCAACCCCTGACAGTAGAGATGAATCATGTTACTCAAAGTAGAAAGTTGCCATCAGTAAGTGAAACTGACAAAAGGGTATCTTAAAAGACAATTGCCTCAAATTTAACATCTGTAAAGAAATATGGCTGGGCGCGGTGGCTCATATCTGTAATCCCAGCACTTTGGGAAGCCGAGGTGGGTGGATCACCTGAGGTCAAGAGTTCGAGACCAGCCTGACCAACATGGAGAAACCCCGTCTCTACTAAAAATACAAAATTAGACAGGTGTGGTGGTGCATGCCTATAATCCTAGCTACTGGGGAGGCTGAGACAGGAAAATAGCCTGAACTCAGGAGGCAGAGCTTGTGATGAGTTGAGATCATGCCATTGCACTCAAGCCTGGGCAACAAGAGCAAGACTCCATCTCAAAAAAAAAAAAAATGCAGTTGATTATGGAGATTGATTAAGAAGTAAACTGCATGATATAAAGGAAAACATATTAATCTAAAGTAGACTAATAAATTTCATTGTACAAATTTTTTCTTTTTCTACAAGTTAATATATAAAGGACAATAGCATAGAATTAAAGGTGTTGTGTTTTTATTCAAGAATGATTTTTTTTTTTTTTGAGGCAGAGTCTCCCTCTGTTGCCCAGGCTGGAGTACAGTGGTATGATCTCGGCTCACTGCAACCTTCAATTCCTGGGTTCAAGGGATTCTCATCCCTCAGCCTCCTGAGTAGCTGGGATTATAGGTACTGAGCCACCACATCCAGCCAAGAATATTTACTTTTTTTTTTTTTTTTTTGAGACAGAGTCTCATTCTGTCCCCCAGGCTGGAGTGCAGTGGCACAATCTCAGCTCACTGCAAGCTCTGCCTCCTGGGTTCATGCCTTTCTCCTGCCTCAGCCTCCCTAGTAGCTGGGACCACAGGCGCCCACCACCACTCCTAGCTAATTTTTTAATTTTTTTAGTAGAGACGGGGTTTCATCGTGTTAGCCAGGATGGTCTTGATCTCCTGACCTCGTGATCTGCCTGCCTCGGCCTCCCTGAGTGCTGGGATTACAGGCGTGAGCCACCGCGCACAGCCAAGAATATTTTCCAAAGCATGTCTCTCAGGCTATAAAAATTGAAGTGGAAATTGAATAATCAAGTTTATAGCCTGAAGCAATTGGGTCTATTAAAATAATAATTATTCATTTTATTTCTAAGTAAAAGAGATAAATCAAAGGCTAATAAAACAGTTCATTTGGGATAACTTTCTTTCAGATGGCTTTCATTATGATTCTGCTGTTACTTTCAGATCAGTTAATACGTAGAAGACGACTACAATTTTGTATTGAGATTTAGAGTATAAACTAAGTTCCATTTCATTAACTAATAGAGACCAGCAGGTTGGTTAAGAAAGGAACCATTAATTTTACAAAGAGAGTTGTTCTAAACTGTTACAAGTTTTCCAGTACTTAATTTTTACAATCCATTAGCTTTTTAAATAGCAAAAAAAATTGTATATATGTTGTGTAAAACCTGTTGAGAAATAAGCAGATTGTGGAATGATTACATTGCGCTCAGGAACATACACATACATATTTTTTGTGGTGAGAACACTTCTTGATTTTCAAGAATACAATACATTAACTGCAGTCACCATGTTGTGCAATATATCTCTTAAACTTATTCCTCCTAAGTACAATTTTGAATGCTTTCACTATGTCCCCAAGCCCCTGCCTCCCAGCCCCTGGTAACCTCCATTCTACTCTCTGCTTCTGTGAGTTCAATTGTTTTACATTCCACGTAAGTCAGATCACGTGGTAGTTGTCTTTTTGTGCCTGGCTGATTTTAAGGAAGGAGACCACTACTACTCCTGCTGCCCTCCTCCCCCCACTTTACCTAGTTCACAAGACAGGAGGAAAGAGAGAAAGCAAAAAGTTAGAAAAAAACAAAAGTAAGATAAATAGCCAGACAACCTTGGCACCACCACCCAGCCCTAGGAGTTAAAAAAAAGTAATAATAATATCAACCCCTGACCTAAACTACTTGTGTTATCTGTAAATTCCAGACACTGTATGAAAAAAACCTTGTAAAACTTTTTGTTCTGTTAGCTGATGTATGTAGCCCCCAGTCACATTTCCCACACTTGCTCGATTTATCACAACCCTTTCACGTGGACCCCTTAAGGCTGTAAGGCTTTAAAAAGGCCAAGAATTTCTTTCTCGGGGAGCTCGACTCTTAAGACGTGAGTCTGCCGAGGCTCCCGGCCAAATAAAAAACCTCTTCCTTCTTTAATCCGGTGTCTGAGGAGTTTTGTCTGTATTCATCCTGCTACATTTCTTGGTTCCTTGACCGGGAAGCGAGGTGATTTACGGACGGTAGAGGCAGCCCCTTAGGCAGCTTATGCCTGCCCTGTAGGCGGACTCTGGCCAGCTTGGGCGGATCCTGAGATGTACATCCTGAGATGAGGATCCTGAGAATGCTCCCGGGTAGGCATTTGCCGCAGTGGAACGTCTCATCAGGAACGTCTCGTCAGAGCAGTGCACAGCAGACCCCCATGGAGGATCAACACAGTGGCTGAACACTGGGACGGCACTGGCACTTTAAGTCCGGACATCTGAAACTTGGTAAGACTGGTATTTAGAACTTGCCCACTCCATTTGAGTGGAAGCGTGGCCTGATCACCCATGGCGTGCCTGTACCGGCACTTTGGTTTTTGTTTTTGACTTGATTTGAATTAATTGCTTGATACTTTGGTTTTAGTTTTGATTTTGACTTGACTTGAATTGCTTGATAAACAGGCGTGCCTTTATTGGCACTTTGGTTTTGGTTCTGATTTTGACTTGGCTTAAACTGCTTGACGAACAGTTGTGCCTTTAACAACACTTTGGTTATAGCTTTGATTTTGATTTAGTGTGAATTAGACGAGTGAGTGATCTTGTGCCCTTTCCTTCTTGTAGTGTGAATGTTGTTTTGTCGTGAGAGAAAAATAGGTCAGACACAAAGTAAGGCCACTCCACTAGGAAATGTGTTAAAAACATTTCAAAAAGAAAAAAGGAAAGTCATCAAATCATCAAAACTTACTCTATTAAAATGCATGTTACAGAACCTTAAAAAAGGTTTTGCAGGAGATTATAGAGTTAAGTTAACCCCCTAGAGGTTAAGAACTCTGTGTAAATTAGAATTGCCCTCTTTTGGTGTTGGATGGCCCACTGAAGGAACTACAGACAGAGAACAATTGGCCATGTATTTAAGGTGGTGACAGGGGTCGGAGGACAGCCAGTGTACCTAGATCAAATTCCTTTATATTGACTCATGGTTAAATATAAGATAGACAAAACCAGCATAAATTTAGCCCTGTTTAAGAGCTTATTGCAAAAAAGCCAAAAGTAAAAGTAAGAGCAGCTTCGCCAGCAGACACAGAGTTAAAAAAAAAAAAAAAAAAGGAGTCCCAGAAACAGCAAGAGAAGCCAGTTTTGCAGGAGTTGCCAGAGATAATAGAAATTCTTTCTCCATATGTCCCAGCCTACCCCGCTTTACTGAGGCCAACAGCCCCCTCAGAAACGAGATTCAGGAGCTAACATGACCCAGGTCTCACCTCGAAGGGGAGGATCGGAGCCTAGAGAGGCCAAGGAAGGAAGTCAAGATAGTCAAGTGGGCCCTCTCAGATCTGTTCTTGCTTGAGCTATGTAAATGCCTCTCAGGCAGACGCAAGGACCTGTCTATTATAATGACCAGGCCCACATCCAGGGGGGGCAACAGACTTTCATCTATCAGCCCTTTCCAACCATTGATTTACTAAACTGGAAACACCCTGAACCCGGCACCTTGCTCCCGGCAGCTAGAGCCCTGTCGAGCATAACTGTGTAGAGGTGTGTGGGACTCAAGTTTACTCTAGCAGACCTGACCTCCGGGACCAGTCTTAGGCATCAGTAGACTAGGAGCTATACAGCTTCATCAACCCACAAGGAGAGAGAGGTGCGGAATATGCGGTGGTAACCCTGGACACTGTCTTGTTAAGCTGAGCTCATTGCTTTAATTCGGGCCTTAGTACTCGGTAAAGGTAAGAATGTAAACATTTACACTGACTCTCGGTATGCCTGTTTAACCCTCCAAGTGCATAAAAAAATTATATAAAGAAAAGAACAACAACAACAAAAAGACTAAAAGTAAGTGTAAAAAAAAGAATCAGAAGAAAACAGGAGAGAGAGAGCAGTGTGCGGGGGCGGGGCCCGTGCCCTTGCCCCGCCCCACCAGCTGGCTGTAAGAGCAGGATAACTCAGAAGGAAAAAACAAAAAAGCAAATTAAAGACTTAAGAAAAAAAGCCAATCTGTTAGCAACAGCACTCATAAAAACAAAAATTAGCAATGTGAGAGGACGTGGACGTGAATATAAATGTGAAAGAAGTCAAGTTAGGCAAGGATTCAAGAGCCGGACAAGGCTAGAGAGAGATTAATGTGTGAGATGCAAAAAGAAAGGACACTAAAAAGGTAAATATTTAAAAGGCAATAAAAGAAATGGCCAAGGCTGCAAGACAAAGAGGCCATCGGCCAAGGGCTGCCGCACCTTGGAGGAACCAAATACTGACCTGATCAGGCTGACAGGAGCTGAAGAATGTATAGACTAAGGCAGACTAGGCACCTTATTTTAGGCTCCTAGGAGCCCATGGTCACATTAGAAGTTAAAAGCAGCAAGATTCTGCCGTATCTGGATTCCAACTACTCACTGAAGGCTAAGCCACTAAATAGTGTTACCAAGAGGGGGTGGGGGAGAAGAGCCCCTCCTCTAAGAAACTTAAACAGGAAAAAGAGCCATACCTTGTGAAAACTTGCGTATAGACTTTACAGAACTGCTCCGTGCTGGAGGCTGTCGATACATGTTAGTGCTTGTTTGCACATTTTCAGGGTAAGTTAGTTTTCCCTGTCAGGACAGAAAAAGTACAAGAAGTGACTAAAGTACTGTTAAAAGACATTATCCCCAGGTTTAGAGTACCTCTAACTTTAAAGTCAGACAATAGGCCAGCATTTGCAGCTGACATAGTGCAAGATTTAACAAGACTGTTAAAAATAAAATAAAAGTTACACACAGCCTATCGGCACAAAGTTCAAGAAAAGGTAGAACGCATGAACTAGACACTCGAGCAGCTACTGAAAAAAATATTGCCAGGAAATTCATTTAAGATAAAATCAGGTTTTTGGCTATGGTCCTCCTCCGAGTCAGGTGCACCCCCACCAAACAAACTAGGTATTTGCCCTATAAGATTGTGTTCAGTCTGCCACCCCCAAATCATAGGTCAAATTAAAGGGGACCTCCAGAAACCAAAGGAATTAACCTTAAAAAAGCAAATGCAGGCTTTAAAAATAGCCATACAAAGTGTTCATAATTAAGTAAATGAAAATGCCTATAAGCCTGACACCCCTTTAAATCTAGTGACTCTGTTTAAAGTAAAATTTAATTTTTCTAGGACCCATATAGGATGGGCCCTGTACTGTAACCTTGTCCACTCCCACTGCTGTTAAAGTTGCAGGTGTTGTGTCTTAGATCCACCACAGTCAGATAACACTGGCAGCTCAGGACAATGGACCAGCCAGCAGGATGCAGATCACCCAACCCAGCCGATCCTGAGATGAGACCAAGCTGCTGCTGAGAACGACAGCCCTGCTCTAGTCACACACCAGCAGCTGACTAGTCTACGCACGGCCGAAGCTTGAGGACTCATCAAGCAAGTAAATGTAGTTAAAAATCTTAAGACTAACTGTTTTCCTATTGTTCTGTGTCTGTATTCAACCTTTTTCCCAGGTAAGGACCTCTTTTGTCCTTGCTGGATATGAATATACTGTACATTGTTTTGTTGTTGATACCCCCCATAACCATGCTAGAAGAAACACCTATATAAGGTGTCCCCACTGTACACATACTACTTAGGAAACCCAGACCCGTCCAGCCCAGCAACAATTCCGAGTCTTTCAGTCATTCTTTAAACATATACACCAGAAGTTACCAGAACCTCCTCCTTTAGCAAAAAGAAAATAGAAAAAAACCTATTTGCTCAGCTGGCTGAAAACATTGCTGGCAGCCTGGATGTCTCTTTATGTTATGTTTATAAAAAGGCTAACATAAGAGACCAACAGCCTTGAGAAGCAAAAGAGTTAATGCCTCAAAATAACTTTACTTTAACTAAATCTTTCCCCAAACAGACGCCCCAAGTTCAAGCATCTGGCTCTTAAAAGTTTCTGTTATTAAAAAATACTGTGTTACTTGCTAAGAAAAAGCTTTTAAGACCCAGTAAAAAAACTAACTTGCTTAAGACATGACAAAGTTGGTACATGTGCCTGTACAGGTTTAACACAGGTTTGAACCTAAGTCTTCATTCAGAAAACAGTTTCCAACTACAAAAAAATGTAAAACCCTCATTATAAGTGTATTACTAGTAACAGAAACGTGCTTGCTGCTCCCCTGTGTATTATACTTGCTCCTTCAAATGATGAAAGGTTTTGTAGCTACCATGGGTTCCTCAGAAGACTTCAGCACAAGCGTATTACATAAAACACTATTGCTCTGTCTCACAAAGAGACTCAGAAAGTAAAAATAAAAGTAAGAACTCCCACTAATTAGTATAAATTCTCAAAGAGGGGGATAAGGAAGGAGATCACCACTACTCCTGCTGCCCTCCTCCCCCCACCTTGCCTAGTTCACAAGACAGGAGGAAAGAGAGAAAGCAAAAAGTTAGAAAAAAACAAGTAAGATAAATAGCCAGACAACCTTGGCACCACCACCCGGCCCTAGGAGCTAAAAAAAGTAATAATAATAACATCAACCCCTGACCTAAACTACTTGTGTTATCTGTAAATTCCAGACACTGTATGAAAAAAGCATTGTAAAGCTTTTTGTTCTTTTAGCTGACACATGTAGCCCCCAGTCACATTTCTCACGCTTGCTCGATTTATCACGACCCTTTCACGTGGACCCCTTAATGTTGTAAGCCTTTAAAAAGGCCAAGAATTTCTTTTTCGGGGAGCTCGGCTCTTAAGACGCGAGTCTGCCGACGCTCCCGGCCGAATAAAAAACCTCTTTCTTCTTTAATCCAGTGTCTGAGGAGTTTTGTCTGCGGCTTGTCCCACTACAATTTCACTTAACATAATGTGCCCCATTAAGCTCCTGTGAATCCCAGTTTCTAACCTGCAATTGCTCTAAGTGTTTTTGTTGCCTTTTCATGGTTTCTACTAAGAATTCCAGAGCTCAGCTGCAATGTTTTCACTGCCTTGGAAGTTATTCATTGTTTTTCTTTATATCTTATCCACAGACACACAAATAAATTGTCTGGTGCAAGTGCAGCGGCTATATGCCCTTCCTGTGAAGGCAGGCCGGTTTGACATCGATTAAGCAAATCCATCTCAGCATTCGTAACAGCCTTTATATTGTTTGATATCAAGCTCAGTAATTTAAAAAATATGCCTCTGTCTTTGTAAGACTACCTATGGGTTGGAGACGACTTATGTAGTATTCAACCGAGCAGATAATGTATATAAAAATTATTTCATATGATTTAATGATCTTGAATTGATTTAACTGTTTCTATGTCATATTTGGAAAAAGCAGGGCAATTATAAAATTTAATAATGGCATCTCCATAAAAAGCAATAATTCATATGCTACTTTAAAAATCTTTCTCCAGCAGTTAGGTGGGCAGAAAACCCAAAGTTAGTAACTTTGAACAGTTCCATCACTACTTTTTTTTAAAGTTAACTGAAGCAGCCTTGGGCAGGTCTTTCAGGAGGTTTCCAGAAGAAGGCATTATTATCAAGGAGATGACAGCTCAATGCCTGTTACTGCCCCTGAAGGCCTTCCAGTGGGACAAGATGTGGCGGTAGAGGACAGTGAAATCGATGATCCTGACCCTGCTTAGGTTTAGGCGAAAATGTATGTTTGTGTCTTGGTTTTTAACCAAAAAGGTTTTGAAAATAAAATAAATAAATAATGAAAAAAGCTCACAGAATAAGGTTAAAAGGAAAGAAAATATTTTGTATAGCTACATAATTTGTGCGGTTTTTCGTTGATTTGTTTGAGACAGGGTCTCACTCTGTCACCCAGACTGGAGGGCAGTGGCACAATCAAGGCTCACTGTGGTCTCCACCTCTTGAGCTCCAGAGATCCTCCCACCTCACTCAGGAGGACGCCAGTCCTGCAGGCAGACATCAGGCCCCAGGTGGACCCTCCATTGGTATACACCAGGCCCCAAGTTGACAACCAGGCTCCAGATGGACACCAAGGCCCTAGGTGGACAGCAGGCCCATGTTGAACACCAGACTCATGTGGACATCAGGCCGCAGGTAGACACCATGCCTTAGGTAGACATGTAGGCTCCAGGCGGACATTAGACCCAAGGTACACACCCAGTCCCCAGGAGAACATCAGGCTCAGGTGAAAACTCAGGTCTTGGGTGCACATCTGGCCTTAAGTGGACACCCAGGTCCCAGGTTGATACCCAAGTCCCAGGTGTTCACCAGACCCCAGGTGGACACAAAGCCTTAGGTGAATAACAAGACCCACTAGGCCATCAGGCCCCAGCTGGATACAGTCCCCGGGTGAACACAAGGCCCCAAGAGGAACATAGGCCCAAGGCAGACATCAGGCCCTCTGTGGACATCAGGCCTGAGGAGGACATCCGGCCCCCGGTGAACATCAGGCACAGGTGTCCAAGCAGGCCCTGGGTGGACATAATGGTGTCTAGGTAAGGAGGTGTCCTGGGGGGAGGGTGAGCAGTCAGCAGCCCAGTGGAGTCCTGAGGAGGTCTTATGGAAGAAAGGGGCTGAGGGGACAGAACCTTAAAGAAGCGACCTCACTTCCTTAATGACAGACCTGAACAGAACTTAGAACTCTGGTAACCAGGCGCCCAGATCCTAGAGTCAGCACCGTAACCAGCTCACTTGGTGGGAGACGCTCGAGACAGCAAGATGTTCTCGTGTTGCTTCCCCACTTCGAGAGGCTGCTGCTTCAGGAATGGAGGGAGTGAGAGCCTTTTCCGGCGATGCCGAAGAAGGCTCATCCCTCACCCCAGACGCCTGTGGCCCTTTGTAAGAAGGTGCACCCGGGTACCACAGGGCAGCCCGGGGCAGGCCCTAGCAGGGCCAGGCCACACCAGAGATCCCATCAGGGCTGCATCTGCACATTGTCCCTGTCCAGGAGGAGATTCGGGAGCCCATGGAGGCACAGGCACATGGTGAGGTGGCCTGCAGTCTGGAAGACTTTGCGGGGGCGGTGTTTAGGGGCTGGAACTCCTTTAAATTCAGGGAGGTTGTTTCTGTGTTTGGAAATTCCAGTGGAAAGTGACTGACGCTGGGGACCCTTTCTCCTTTCTCAGCTCCTGCTCAATATGCAGAAATAGAAGCATTTCCAGCACCAGCTGTTGAGCCAGAACCAGCATGGGAAGAGTCCCCTCCAGAGACAGCGCTGGAGGTGAACGGAGCTCCAGCCAAGCACCAGCCCAGAGAGGAGCTGCCTGAAATCACGGCACCTACTATAGCCACTGGCCTTAGCCTTGCAGCTGAAAGGGTGGCTGGAGAGACAGGTGGCAGGGAGGGGGTGACCAGCACGGCCCCAGCCAGCAGCTCCCATGCTGCCCCTAGTCCTGGGCATGGTGGCAAACATGGAGGCGGAGACCAGGGTTTTGAGCCTGGGTTCCTCTACCTTGCTGGAGAGAGGCTTGTGTCATTCACTAGAGCTGCAGTCCTGCTGCTGCAGGGCCTGTTTATTCTACTGCTGCTGGTGGGGTCTATCTGTGTGCAGGAGGTGCTTGAGGGCATTAAAAGAAGGTTCAGAAGAGGAGTTCCAGCAGCTCCTCCTGCACCCAGAGGCGGCCTCCTCCTCCAGGCATGGATGTCTGTCTGCAGCTGGGCATCCGGGCTGTTTGCCCCTGTCATGCTGCCCAGGACAGGCTCTTAACAGGTGGGCAGAGGGTGAGGGGACCAGGAGGCAGCTCCAAAGGGTACAGCAAGCAAAGTTTTTAAAGACAGCACTTGTGCCCCAGGCTCTCTGTGCCACCACCTGCCCTAGCATTTATTAATAGTGTTAGAATTGCAAGTTGATGAAACAATATTTCAATAAAGTTTGATTTCCGGAACTTAACGCCTTTTTGAACTCCCTAATGTTAGACGGTGTTTTTGAGGCGATCCTGAAAATCTCTGATAGTTGTGTCTTTTGTTGTGGTTGTTTGTGTGATTGAATTACTGTCGAGTCAACTGTTACTGGAAACTTTTCAGGTATGGCTTTTAGAAGACTTTGACTTACTCTTGCCTGTTTTGACTCTCTGGTTTATTGTGGAAAGAGGGAATGATGTAGGCTCATGTCTCTGGCAGATCAATCACCTTTTGTCATCAAGGATTTGGCATCAGAGTTTCCAAGAATTATGTGTGCAAGTTGACATGCTGGCACTTTAGCTAATCTTGGTGTCAAAACAGAATGCCACAGACTAGGTAGCACAGAAAATTGATTTCTCACAGTTCTGGAGATGGTAAAATCCAAGGTCAAATGGTCAGCAGATTCTGTGTCCGCAGAGGGCTGGCTTCCTTGTTCATAGACAGCCATCTTTTTACGGTGTCCTTACATGACAGAAGGGATGAGGGAGCTCTCTGCAGTCCCTTTGATAGGGGCACCAATTCCATTCACGAGGTCCCTGCCTTCATGAACTTATTCACCCACCAAGGCCCCACCTCCAAATACCATCACATAGAATTAGAATTCAACACATGAATTTGAGGAGGATAGTAACATTTGCTTTACAGAATCAGGTCTCCCCGAGCCATATGCACTCACAAGAAATCTGTAATCTTCTATTAAGTATTTGCTGGTCCCCTCTGGGACTAGGGAATTTTTTTTTCTTTAAGAAAAATGATCTTTCATGTGACCCATGGTTTATTCATAGAAAAGCACTGTGAGTTCACATACTTGCTAAAAACAAGGGCAATTGTGATACAAAAATGAGAGTGATTTCTCTCTCTCTCCCCCTCCTCTCTCTCTCTCTCTGTCTCCCTCTCCTCTCTCTCTCTCTCTCTCCTCTCCCTCTCTCTCTCTCTCTCTCTCTCTCTCTCTCTCTGTGTCTGTCTTTTTTAACCAACCCATTGGGCTGAGACGTTGTGGGGCGCTTGGCTGGGCAGTAGGACTTGAGTAGCCACAAAAGGCAAATACAACTTCTTGGTCAGTTTTGAGTAGAAAAGCTGACAATTTGTCAACAAAAGAAAAAGTAAAGCAGATGGAGAAGTTCTTAGTTCGCATTCTAGCTACACCACCTCTTCCCTATCAAACCCCACCCCGGACTCAGGAACTAAGACATAAAAGAGTAAACACCAAGGCACTGGTAACCAACTGACTCTTCTGAATGCCCTTGCTATCTCCTACAACAATTCCAGGCTGAGCATAGGGGTCAGGAAGGTGGCAGGAACACAATGATTCACTGTGGAGGTCAGCCAGAGCTAAGACAGGGCTGCTCACTAGGGCTAGAAATTAGGAAGGGAGAGGCTAAGTGCAGACCAGCCCTAGCCTCCAAGTCAGCAAGCAATGAGACTGTGACAAAAGCAGGCAGAGGAAGCTTGAGGTAGAAAGGTAGAGGAAGAAAGCAAGTACGGGGCGAGAAGAGAACTGGGCAGCGAAGGCAGCTGATCTGATGGCAGAGGGAGGCTGGTGTTTAGAAGCTCGTTTGGGGAGAGAATGAATAGAGGCGGCACAGAGATGGGGAACAAACATTTAGCTGGTGAGAGAGATTTAAGATGAATGGGAAGAGAAATCTCACAAAAAGGACAGATTCATGCAGATCCTCTAAGATGAACATGCAGTCATCCCTACATGTAGAAATATGCTCAGTTACACATATAAAAACACAGATGCATGGAGAGCAAGCGTACACACAGACACATATTTCTACACATGCACTCATGTGTGCCCAGGTACACACACACTAAACATGCAAAACATGAGAGCATTTACACATAGATATGCATCCTCACATGTATGCAAATGTTACATCCTCACATAGAGACCCACAGTCCAGTGTGCACATATCCACACAGGTACGCAGCCATAGAACTGACATAGATGAGCATAAAGATGTAATGTGCACATACAGACAGGCACGCGCAGATATATCTATGCACACAGACACATGTATTGAGTCATACAGATACACACACTCTCTTAACACAAAGGTGACCAGTGTAGATGAATATTGTGAGCTCAGTGGCCTCGCAGACCTTCATCTTTTCCCTGCGCTTGTTTCAAAGGTGCTCAGCAGACTCCTGGCGAGGCTGTGTGAGGCAGGGGCAGGAGCTCCAGAGTCCTCACAGCTTTGTGAGGCAAAAGTCTAAGTCCAGTCCTGGCTTCTGCCGTTCACCCACCACTGGGCTATTAATGCCCTGTCTGCAGGGGAGAGATTCTGCGTAGACTAGTCTTGGGATTTTTTCTAACTGGCCGTTTTTCTCCTTGGCACCCCCACTGTCCCACTGGGAAGGGCATACACTCTGGAAGGGAAACCTGAGAAATGGTTGTGAGTCTCCTCAGACAGTAAGCATATTCTCCACCCACAGCTACCTCAAGTGCCTATCAAATCAGAACCAGAATTATAAATATTTATGACTTTACAATAATTGGCAACACATATACTATAGTATTTACAGTACCATAAATGCATCTGTTTCTCTGGTTCAGCAATCTCTGAGATGGAACAGTGTTCTGTGTTTGCCAAGGGAGACGGCGCCAATGCCCAGGACGTAGGGGCAGAAGGTGGCATATCGTTGGGTTTCTGGTCGATCTGCAGGGCCCAGCTCCTCCATGAACAGTGGGCTGTAGTGAGAAGCTTGTCAAGGTATGCGTATCCACTAGAGCTGGGCTCTCCCCATCCTTAGCCCCGTGGTCCTTTGGCCTCAGCCACAGGTGCTCAGAGTCTTCTCAGGGTGGACAAATGTTTCAGTGTCCTCGGCCCGACCTAATAATTCCTGGGGACCCAGGCTGCCGGGCAGGTGAGCTATCTGCTTTCTCAGCCAAAGGGCTCTAGAACCAGCAACATCAGCTGGTTATAACCACTAAAAAAAATTATATGAAGACATATTCTTTAAAAAAAAAAACTATATATAAGTCGAAATATAATTCTAAAGAAAACGTCCAAATAACCCAAAGGAAACAGGAAAAAGAAAACAGAAATAATAACCAGAGACACAAACAGAAAACAAAAAACTATTATTCCCTAACATATCAGTAAATATATTAAATGTAATTATCTAAATACACCAATTAAAAGATACATTGACAGAGCAGACTTTTTTAAATGATTCAACTATATAGTGTCTAGAAAAAAATTCACTGCAAATATAATGATTACAGGCAGGTTGAAAATAAAAAAATAAAAATCATACATCCTGCAAACATTAATCTACAGCGAACAGAGTAGTTATATTATCATATAAAGTATATTTCAGCATAAAGAAAATGACCAGAGACTGAGAGGAATATTACATAATGATAAAAGGGTCAATTCACTGAGACATAGTGAGCCTAAATGTTCATGCACCTTTAAACATCAGAGCTGCAAAATAATGTGAAGCTAAAACTAATAGAACTGAAAGGAAAAATAAATAAATCCACAAATATTGTTGGAGACTTCAACACCTCTCAATAACCAAACTAAAGCAGTCCTAGGAGGGAACTAAATGTAACTAAAATGCTCACATTAGAAAAGAGGGAAGGTCTCAAATCAATAATCTATGTTTCTACCTCTAGAACCTAGAAAAAGAAGTACAAAATATACCAAAAGCAAGAAAAAGAAGGAAATAATAAAGATAAAAGTAGAAATCAATGAAACCGAAACCAAATCAATGAGCTGGTTCTTGGAACAAATTGATAAAATTGACAAACTTCTGACAAGACTAACAAAGAAAAAAAAAACATAATAGCACAAATTAATAACAGAAGTAAAACAGGGATATCATTACAGATTTTGCAGACATCAAAAGGATAATGAAGAATACTAATACAATTCTACAAATATTAATTTGACAACATACAGAAAATGGACCAATTTCACTGAAAAACACAGATAATTAAAATGATACTATAAATATTAAGGAAACTGAATATGTAATGTTATAACACACACAAAAAAGTCTCCAAGCCCAGACGGTTTTACTTAAGATTTCTACCAAGTGTTTAAAGAACTAATGCTAATTCCATATAATCTTTTCAAGAAAACAGAAGAAACACTTTCCAATTCATTTTATGAAGCTAGTATTACCCTGATACCAAAACCAGACAAACTATATACAAAACCCAAAAATTTGTTAAAAGGGAAAAAAGAAACTATGGACTAACATCCCTCACGAATATATAGTAGTTCACCCTCTCTCCCATCGAATGGTTCTGCGGTTTTACTTTCCTGGGTTTGTTACTCACAGTCAGCCACAGCCTCAAAATATTAAATGGAAAATTCCTGAAATAATTCACAAGCTTTAAATTGCATGCCTTTCTGAGTAGTGTGATGAAATCTTGCATCATCCTGCTCCATCCCTGGTGGGAGGCAGATCCTCCCCTTTGCCCAGTGCATTCATGCTGTATTCTCCACCTGCCCCTTAGTCACTTAGTAGCCGTCAGTTATCAGATCGACTGTGGTGGTACTGCAGTACTTGTGTTCATATAACACTTGTCTTACTTAATAATGGCCCCAAAGCACAACAGTAGTGATATGGTTTGGCTGTGTCCCCAACCAAATCTCATCTTGAATTGTAACTCCCACAATTCCCACATGTCCTGGGAGGAACCCGGTGGGAGATGATTGAAGTATGGGGGTGCATCTTTTCGGCACTGTTCTTGTGACAGTGAATGAGTCTCACAAGATCTGATGGTTTTCAAAATGGGAGTTTCCCTGTACAATCTCTTTGCCAGCTGCTACCCATGTAAGATGTGACTTGCTCCTTCTTGCCTTCCACCATGATTGTGAGATCTCCCCAGTCACGTGAAACTCTAAGTCCAATAAACCTCTTTCTTTGGTAAATTTCCCAGTCTCGGGTATGTCTTTATCCGCAGTGTGAAAATGGACTAATACAAGTAGTGATGACAGCAATTTGGATATGCCAAAGAGAAGCCAT